TCTTCAATCAAGAACCGGAAATTTCCGTCAATTCCTGAAATACCGTTATATAGAGGAATTGTTGGACTTCGTCCAGGACTACCACTAGGACCTGAAAAGCCACCTAATATGAAAAGAAATGAATTGAATATGACAGCAAGTTCTGAATCAAGAACGCTTTGCGAACTCGTACCTGGATTAAAATGGTATGTAGTATTGTATTGTGTATATCCCCGGGAGTCGGTGTAGGAATGTGTTTCTGTCCATGAATAACTTGAACCACCTCTACCACCATATCCTCCTCTACCTGTGGATATTATAACCATATAACCATAGTAAGTAATGCGCTAGATCAGAATAATAACCACACAAGAAGTACCCGGTGTTCCATGTTGTCCAGCTCTGCCTGCATTACGATAATTAATGAGATAGTGCCGAAAATGTTTGTCTAAACAGATTGAAACGTAGAGAATAACAACGATTACCTCCTTGTCCTCCATTGATGTTCAGACTGTAGGAAATTGTTGGAATCCATGCCTTCACAAACATCAATAGCAATCCCGAGTCAGTATCACGCATGTGCAAGGTGATTGCACCACCTTTTCCACCATCGGCACCGCTTTAAGATGAAGATTTTGTCAGGAAAAGAAAAAAAATTCACAGCAGCTAAAGAAAGCATCGTGAATTGAATGAAGAATACCGACCTGGTTCCTGCGCCTATAAAGTTATTTTATACCAAATATGTCAGCAATTTACCAGAAAAATTTCATCGTAAGCAATAGTGTTCTTACCTGCATCACCACCATCACCTCCTCTTCCTCCATTGGTTCCATTAGAGTATCTTTATTATTGACAAAAATTAGACGATTGTTTTGATATTGAAGAATATCTCTTGAACACCAAGAGTAAGAGACTTACTGAGTGGCGTCCATTCCGGGATGACCAGTGGCACCATACCCTAAATAAATGTTTGTTTTATATTTGTGCTGGATCACTCACACTTAGTATTCGTAAAACGCTTGAATGAATACTTACCCCCATCTCCACCGTTACCACCGTGTCCCCCGCTTCCTCCGTAAGCTGAAAGTTTGCAACAAATAATATTGGAATTGTTCATTTTATTGATTACCACTAAACCTCGATAAACTAAAATTTGAAAATTTTACCATCCAGAACAAAAAAATCAACCGTTTCACATGAATAAGTTTCTTGAAAATTTTCATAGACCAATTGCTCTGATTTACGATACTGGCCTGAAAATTCAATAGAGGCACCAGTAGTATTATCCCTATTCAAAGGTACTGTAAGTCAAATCATGTAGAAAATCATTGCAATTTAAATTAAGGAAATCAAACCTCTCGGTGAGAAACAGGTCGATATCTATTATAAAGTAGATGAATTTTAAATTATCACAATTTAACTTGAAATAATTACAATTTCAATTGAATAAAGATGATGAATATATCTGACCGCCGGCATCCTTTCCCCTGGTTGGATTAGTCGCATCTTCTCCATCATCTCCGTCCATATATGATCCACTAGATATTGCTGCAGAGCGCCCATTCTGTCCATTAACGCCATTAGGCCCGGATACTGAGAGAACGATAAATGGCATTTTTATTGTTTTTTTGTTGTTAGGAAGAAAAACATCATTTTGAGAGAGAAAGCGGAATAAACAAAATTAAAAACATTTCATTTGTAACGTGACACATCCATTTGGGACCACTAAAGTACCAATAGAAGCAAAAATCGCAAGTTGTATCACATTTCATAATGGATACACAAAATGCATGGCGAGCCGTGCTTGACAAAAGTGTGCTGAAGAATAATTTTATAAATTTATTATAATTGTAAAATTTAATAAAAAATTCTCTAATAATAAATTTCAAGCTAAAATTCTCAATACTCCTATTAAAAAAAATTATTTCAATAATTTTTTATTAAAAGACTTCTAAACGAAATTCTTTATCAAAAAAAAAGACTCACCTATAAAAAAACCTTTTGACCGAACAAAAATTCTTTATCAAAAAGAATATAAGAAATTTCTAACGGAAAAATCTTCCAACAAACACATTTTTCCTGTTATATTATAGCTGTTTTCAAAAAAGGTGTAGTTTGGTGATATTCATTGTGCATGTGAATCAGGAGATCACCAATCAGACATATACCTTTTTACTTGTTTATATAATTTACCGAAAAATATATTGCTTTATTGTTAATAACAAGCTAGCAAATAAAAAATTTTAAAAACTTTTGTGCAACCATCTTCGACAATATCCATAGCAATAACTAGCTTGCGTTGCTATTTTTGTTTTATAATTAGATAAATTATGATTTTATAATATTAATATACTTATTCTAACTAAAAAAATCAAAAGTATATTTATTCAATAATTAGTAAAATAATAAGAAAAATAATTATTAAAATAAATGAGCACCTAGGTTGAGTTTAGTGAAATTTATTGTTTTTATGTATTCTAGAAAATAAAAAATAATTGTAAATCTAGATCTAAAAAACGAAATAAATAAAATAAAGAATAACGATAATATCTATACATAAAAAAAAATGGTAAAAATAAATAAAAAATTACATAAAAACATATTTGCATAGATTATTATTAAAATTATTAAAATCTCGGTTTTAAAAAAATCCGGTCTAACAAAAAGAAACCAAAAAAATCCACATTCGGTAATGGAGGGTGGAATGACCAAAAATGAAACATGATTGAAATATGATTCCTCCTATTGTTATTGATTAAAAAAAATATAATTTCAGCACATTGCGAAAGATGGGAAAGTTTGGCTGCTATTATGGTTTCTTTCGTCTATCCAAAATTTAGCACCACAATGAATGCTGCCCATCTTTACCTGCAGCACCGATCCGATCACCCGATCCAAACCTAAATGGTGAAAAATTAGGTTTGAAAAAAAAAGCCAAACTGAAAAAAGAAAAGGTGAAAAAATGTTTTTTTGTATTGGAAGAAAAGCCAAAGCCAACCCGAAAAAAGAAAAAGGTTCGAAAAAAACCGAAAGAAAAATTTGGGAAGAGAGACAAAGAGAAAAATCGGTTGAAAAAAGAAACCGAAAGGGAAAAAGAAAGAAAAAATAAAAAAAAAATTGAAAGATAAAGAAAAAAAAAATTAATTGAGGGAATTAAGAAGGATAAAGAAAGAAATCGGTTAGAAAAAAGGGAGATTTCTGAAAAAAAAAGGAATCCAAAAAAAAAATAAGTATTGAAAAAAATTCTGAAAAAAAAAGGACAATAATTCGGTCCAAAAAGATCGAAACAAAATAAAAAAATTTTTCAGTTTGGAAAAAAAATTAAACCTACTGTAAATGGAGAAAAACAAATTTTTCGGGTTTAAAAAACAAACCAAACCAAAAGAAGAAAATTATATGGAAGTTACACAATTCAAATTATTTATCCAAACGTCAGACAAATTTTTTTTAGTTATAAAAGCTAAACCAAAAGAAGAAAAGGGAGAAAAAAAAATCGGACAAAAAAAATTAATAAAAATTCCGATTAAGGTAAAATTTCATTAACTGAAATTAGATTAGTTGATTGGAAATTGGATTGATCAGGCGGAGACATGTCACCTAATCCAAACGTCAGATAGATGCCATCAAAAGAAATGGTCAGTAAAAATGTGTAACGTTTGCCACGAACAAACCCTACTTTTTTTAATAGCTCTCGTGTTAACATGAAATTATTCATCTAAGAAAATCGGCTGTTCACATTAATATTGTACAATTCCACTGGTGAGTAGCCACTTCGAACTTCCATTCCTAAACAATTTCATCGAGATTCAAGTCCACATTCTCCTGAATAATATTTTTAAAAAACTTGTTATAAATAATACTTACGTTCATATCATTTTGATCAAAACCTGCTCTTTATAATAACCATCATAATGAAAATATATTATGTGCCATTTTAACTTGATATAGTCTTTCTAATAGAGTCATGGTAACTAACTGAGAGAATCTAAGTACAATCAGAGCAGGGTTTTGAAAATGGGGAAAATCAGAGAATCGTGATTTCTCACGATACAGTGATTAAACGGCTATTCTTTATTTATCTCTCAATTAAAGAAAAATTCTTTAACGAAATTCTCTATTAAAAACAAATCCCCCTATTAAAAAAATTCTCTACCACAAAAAATATTTTTGCCTATTAAAATTCTCAAAAGAAATTCTTTACCAAGAGAAGCTCCTTCCTATTAAAAAAAAAAATTCTTTAACGAAATTCTTAAAAAAGTTCTCCCTGTTAAAAAATTTTTTATCAAAGTGTGATATGTTTAAAACCCAGATAATCGGTATTACAATCGAGACATGTTTTATAACAAATCACTTGTTGTGTAATTATACGGTACGCCATACATTCATTCCAAAACGTGACATGTAATTGGCTAATTAATAGAATACAGGTCGTAGATGGATCATGGATGTATGGTAATCCGATTTACTTTCCTGGATTAAATGAAATCACAGCTTAGAGTTTTTTCAGGGGTAACTGATATAGTATAATCTTATAGCTTAAATATCAATTAGATTAAATTTTAATATTATCCATCACGATATAGGCAAATCCGTCAATTTATACTAGAATATTAATTAGGGTTTTTAAATCTCTATTTAGCTAAATTTTTTCATATATGTATACAACCTTTATTATTATCTCCTAAAGTGTTTTTATTGTATTATGTGACAAATTTCCCCGGATTTTTGCAAATAATGACCTTTTATATTATAATAAAATCTATCGCAACTTGTTTTTTCTAAAATAGGCAATTAATTAATGAATTTCTATATTACTATGAACTAATTAATGAATTTATATTACTATGAACTAATTAATGAATTTTATATTACCATGAGAACTAACTGAAAGGTTAATAAAAATGAATTCGTGACAACTATAAAAATATGTACAGCGGTCAAACATTAATAAATTGATCAACAAAAAAAAAAAAAATTTTTTTTTTCTAAACTTTTTCAACTTTTTCATTCGATTTCAGAATATGCCAGATATAATTTATACTCTTAATTATGTACCAGGACAATTTGATGATACACCTGAAAATGAACAAGATGAACAACGAATAAGTAATGAATTAAATAAAAATATTAAGAATTTGATGAGTTGAATGATAATGAAAGAATGGGATAACGCAACAGGAGGTAAAACAAAAGTATAATTAAGTATTTGAGATTTTGTTTTTATATCAAAAGATAATACAAAGTTAATCGATTGTACTGTTTAGTAAAATCTTTTAATAAAATGACAATTAAGACAAAAATTACAAGCTTGCGGTACATTATCCGGATCAATAAAATATCAACAAGGTCCTTCTGAAGGAAGTTCATTATCAGCTGGTAGAGGTGTATCTGATGAAGCTAAAAAAAAAAGTTATTGAAACTAAATTAGTATAACAAATGAAAATTTTGAGTAAATATGCAAATAGGATTCATCTTGGTATGTATTTACAGGAAAAAAAGATTTCGTTATTGAATTTATGTTCTTTTTATTAATCCAAAAATTTTCTTTCTTAAAGATGAAGTTTCAGATGGTAAATTATCCGTTTTTTGTCAAGATGGGCAACAAAAAAAAACTCTTGGTGATAAGTATGTAATACTTATTTAAAATAATAGTTATTTTAATTTGATGAATTATTGTTAACGTAAAAATATATTTTTTTTTGAAGACAAAAAAATAGTGATAAATCAGATCGTGCTACTGTAGAGCAAGTGTTAGATCCTCGAACGAGGATAATTCTTTTTAAGATGATTAATCGCAACGTAATCTATGAAATAAATGGGAATATAATCTTTTGTAAGTCAAAGAAATTTGTTTTCGTTAATAGTTTAAAAATTTCTTGATTTAACGTTATTTTTTTTTTTTTTTAATTATCATAGATATCGTTCGCGTATTTTATATCTTATCGATCAGTAGAACATGATCATCCACATGCTCNTTGAATTTATATTCTTTTTATTAATCCAAAAATTTTTTTTTTTAAAAAAAAAAAAAAGAAATAAGGATCAGTACCTAAATTAATATTTAATACAAATGATTTAGGCAAATGTTTATCATGCAATAACAGAAGATGGAAATCATAGGGCTATAAAAGTTTATGAAACTTCAATTTTAGTGTTTAAAGATAGAGATCGTTACGTTACGGGAGAATTTGGATTTAGACATGGTTATAGTAAACATAATCCAAGAAAAATGGTCAAATTATGGGCGGAAAAAGAAATGAGAAATTTAAAGAGATTATGGCAAGCTGGTATTCCATGTCCCGAACCTCTTGTTTTAGGGCTACATGCTCTAGTAATGATTTTCCTTGGAGATAAAAATGGATGGTACGTCAAAGAAATTTGTTTTCGTTAATAGTTTAAAAATTTCTTGATTTAACGTTATTTTTTTTTTTTTTTAATTATCATAGATATCGTTCGCGTATTTTATATCTTATCGATCAGTAGAACATGATCATCCACATGCTCTTGAATTTTTAAGGAGATCTTTCAAATGTCACAGAATATTTCAAAAGAAAAGGTGTAAGAGTTATTGGAGAATTATTTGATTTTATTACTGATATTAACATTGGATTAGATGATGAGCAAGTTGAGGCCGAGCTCGATAAGGTAAATTATTCATATAATTATGTTAATGTGAGCTGCTAATTAATAAATTTAAAAATTATATATATATTTTTTTTAGATTCAAGAAAGATTAGCTTCCCAACAGGAATTATCAATTACGTTAAATGAGGATATTGATAAAATGTCTAAAGATTTGGTTGATGAAGAGGTTTTCAAGAAAGCCTTTATTCCGAGAACCTTGAATGATGTATTTTATGTTGAAAGAGATACTTTGAAAGTTTCAAAAGACGAAGGTGAGGATGTGAGTAAAGCAAAAAATTGAATTAACTTTGTAATTATTTTGTTACTTTTATTAATTTCCCTCGTTTGTTTAGTTGATTTATCGACAACTTACTGGACTTTCTGTTGATGATAAAGCTGAAAAAAATACCAAATGAAAATGAAGTAATGGTAAAGTCAGAAAACGTTTCATCTATTTCTACTAAAGATGATGAAGATGATGAAAGTGAAGAGGATGATTAAGATGAAGAAAAAGAAAGTGAGGGAGATGAAGAAAATGAATATGACGATGTGTCAAGAAACAATCTAGAGGAAAACAAAATGAAGACAAAGAATCTAAAAAAGTACGGATTTGTTTATTATATTCGAGTACCATATCATATTTGATGATTAACGTTACATTTGTACTTGTTTTAGGAGCGGAAGAAAGCTGCGAAAGAAGTGGCGGAAGAAAAAAGAAAGAATCCAAAGCTGTCAAAATGCGTAAAATAAAACTACTACCGGGAAAAAGTCCAAATAATTTATTACATTATTTGTTTTTTATTAAATTATTTTTTCCGTAATTAATGTAAACTATTGTCTTTTGTAGTTAACAACATTGAACCATTCCGAAACTACGGTATTATTATTAAAAATGACAAATCATTTATATCATTTGAACAATATTCCGAGATTTTTTTAGAATATTTTTGCATCACATGCTTTTTTACACCCTTTTAATACTACTTTTTCAACAACTTATGAAAATTAATGGATGGGCCTCTTATTTACATTATGCTTCTTATGTAGATTTTTATTATTCCAATAGATTATTTTTTTTCTTTTTTTTTCTTTCTTCTTATTTTGGTCTCGATTCTTTCTCTTCTTCTATCAGGCAATGCTTAGTGTTGATTTATAAATAATAAGCAGTGCGATCTTTGCGAAGGTTGGGTTTATACTTGTAGCGTGTGCGTAGTAGTCACTTTTGTAAAGGCTCAGCTCCCAGGCTCCCGTCATTGTCCTAATTTTTAATATATAAAATAAAAATATATGAAAATTAAAATATTTAGTCTATCTAGTCAAACAACAAAGTATCAGGTGAATCGATCATTAAAAGATGATGTTGTTTCATCGTATATAGACGAGTTGTGGTTTTGTGCTTCTATAATTGATAATAAAAATTTTTATTCCATCCCTTGATACTATGGAAAAAAAATATAACATTGTCCAATAAGGTCTCCCCAATTTAAAAGTTCGTTTAACATGACCCTAAAGAAAACAGAATGTTTGAATAGTCTATATGTAAGACACCCTTCAGGAAAAGCATAAATGGCCGCATTTCATCTCAACTCTCGCAACATTTAATGGTGAATAATATACCTTAATATTATTTTTCATAATTTCTTCATTATACCGGCAGTGCTTTAATCATGAGATCTGTTGAAAAAGAAGAAAGGAGTATTTTATTAGAGGTAGAACAAAACTAGTTATTTTCATATCAAAGTTTTCATAAACCACACGAAGAAAAAGGACATAACAGATAAATTGACGGGAAAAGAAAGAGAAAGTAATTTACCACTTGAAGCCCATTGAAGCCCATTGCCATTATTGAGACTAATAAGGCAACAGAGAAACAGCCAAGGGGGAATAACACCACGGATTAGAGGGAGACAGAATTAACCAAGAAAGAAACTTCAATGAAATATGATCTGTTTGTTTGAATTAAATGTGTAAAACGTTCATCATTTTCAAATCGCTCAACAAAAATGGGTTATCCGAACTTTTCGCCGAAGTTCATTTCACCGAAACCCATTTTCTCGAAGTCAAATAAAACACCACATTTGGGTTTGATATACATACAAAGACTACCATTCTAAATGTGGCATTTAAAATTATATGAAAATCTTATGTAAGTTATCACGAGAGATTTTCAAGTAGTAATCCATTTCGGCTCGGATTTTGATCTGTTTTAGTTGATATTTCCGTACTAAAAATAAAAGGTAATAAGTAGTATGGTTAAATAATTATTAATCGATCATAAATGAACAGGGGGTGAATTCAATGAACAGGTGGTGAATTCTTGTTTTATTATAAAAGGCGACGGTTTCGATTTTATTCTGAATTCAAAATTATTGATAATTACATTTTAACCAGATATTTACCAAGTTTATCCTCACAAAGAAATCATGAACCGAAATTTTATTTTTGTATTCATTTTATTAGCTTCGCTTTCAATAGTCAATGCTATTCCTATTCCACATAAACTTCTTAAACGAACAACCGAATTTACAGAATGTAGACAGTCACCAACGCCGCCCCTACTCTCTGTAGTGATTTCACCTGATCCTGTCGTATCCGGTAACACCGTGACTTTTACTGCTACCGGATCATTGAACCAAGATGTTCCTGATGGATCTGACCTTATTGCTTTCTTTGGAGATTCTAGTAGTAGCAAGATTATAGGGGATATCAAGAGGGCGCCTATGTGCGATGGTGGATGTCCAAGAGCTGGAGCTCAATTCACTAAAACACTGGATTATTCGGATGTACCTGGATTACCTAACCCATATGATATTGTAGTTGGCGTTGTGAAAAACACTGATGTATTGGCCTGTGCAGTTGCTATTAATGTTTAGTTTCCCTTACTTCTATAGCTTTTTACAAGTCTTCTTGATAAATTAATTTTTCATGTTATTACATTTATTTTATTTAAAAAGAAATTTATTTAATTTATTTTGTTATTGGTTAAATTCATCTTTATAATCTAATTCATTATACATTATCATCGATTAAATTCTTCAGATTTCTCGAGATTTTCTGAAAGAAAAAATGCCCACTGAGAAGTTACCCTTTTAGACTAACCTGTGACTTCATGATCATATACTTTTTTGAATTCCACATTTTCAAAGAAAATAATTTTACTTTTGTCGTTTAAAGAAAAGCAATAATATAAAATAAAAGAACGTTCTTTTATAATTATTGATCAAAGAAATGTTCTATTTCATAATAAAGATAATAAGATAATTTGGTTTGTACTAATATACTTAGTGGTCAATTTTTTTTTTAACGAATTAGCTGGGATAAGTGGCGAATACATCGATCATACTGGCGCTATGTGCTTGTTTTTAGTGCGAAAAAGTCCTGTAATCAATTGTCGAACTGGGCGGATACTATACGTGAATACTGTACGTCCTGATGAGCTTTCTAATAGAAAAAAAATTTCGCTTTGGCGCAAATAAGTTGAAATCTAATTCAGACCTAACATAATTTTTTTAAGTAAATAAAGCATATCATATAACAGTCTTCCAGTCTGCATGCTATACTATACAGTATTGATAGCATTTGCTGAGAGAAAAAGATATAAGCAGGAACATGAGCCCTTTAGGACGAATTTGGATGCTTGTATTTTTTCGACCCATATGCATATGCTACCCGTCTTTATTTTTGCCAAATCAACCACGAGTTTCGCATTCTATGCAAGCTGATGACCCGGTATACAGTATATAAATTACGGAGATCTGTACAAAATACCGAAACTCGAAAACCTGACAGTACAATATCCCGAACTCTAAATCTCGAAATGGCAAAATCTCGAAATGCCATAATACCGAATTGTCAAAATCCTGAATTGTCATAATCCCAAATTTTATAATCCCGACACCCAATAATATTGATTTTCTTTCTTTTATTAATAAATTTCTTGAATTTCGGGATTATGAAGTGTCGGGCTTATGAAATGTCAGGATTATGGCATTTCGAGATTTTGCCATTTCGAGATTTAGAGTTCGGGATATTGTACTGTCAGGTTTTCGAGCTTCGGGATTTCGTACCAAACCCGATTTTACACCACTGTTGTAAGACAATAGAAAATATATTACATAATTATAAAAAGGAATCACTCAGAGACAAATCTTATATATATATGTATAGTATACAGTATATATATTATGGGCATATATAATATATATAATATATATATATATACATTTCGTACAAGTACTACTTAGCCTGTTGATCCACCCTACCACCCGCCGAGCAAGATGCGTCCATATAGTATTCTTTTTTGTAAAAATTGGGGGATAGTGATTTTAAACTATCTTTAATAAGTTAGTTAAAAGAAGTAACTGGTCATAAAATTAAGCTAAAATGACTATCCATTATACCAAAAATAATCATGGGAATTTTTTTTTCAATACACATATTCTTTATTAACTAATTAAATAAAAGTAATACTATTCTTTAAAATTACAATTTAACTAAACCAAAAAAAGATAATATGACTCAGTAGGGTTTCGATCCGTTATCCGAATTAAAAAGGATCGAAACCCTAAATAAAAAAAATTTGTAATCCGATGCTTATTAATATTATAGAAAAATGATCAGCATAATCATGTATTTTATACGATTAAATATAAATAAATCCTTATTGCCATACAATAAGGATCAAATTAATTTTTTCATAAAAGAAAATTAAAAATAAAATATTATTAAAAAATTTATGATGTTTGAAAATATATGATTTTTTTTATAGTCTTGTATGGTGATCAAGATTTGTTATGAATAATTAAAGAGTACAATAGGAGAGATTTTTTTTTATTAAATATAATGCAAAATTAATGAATTATTTATTTAAATAAAACAAAAGTCATAATTATAATTGTATGATCATACTAAAATGATCAACATTAGTTACGAAAGATTTTTATTTCTTTATTATTTTTTGAATTAAAATTAATAATGAATAATTATCTAAGATCTTTAAGATTTTTTTTTCGTCAGAAGTCACATGATCAACATACAGTTTTTTCCCAAATAATCTAAATTAAAGAAAGTACAATAAAACAAATTATTATTTTATTTGTATATGAGAATTTTTTTCTCAAAATTAATAATAAATAATTATCAAAGATTTTTTTATTAAATAAAAAACAAAAGACATAATTATAATTGTTCAAGACCTTTTTTTCGTTTGGAGTCATACTAAAGAAAAAATTTTTAATAAACTATTAAAAAAAAACACAATAAATTTAGAACACCCTGTCAGGGAAGTTATTTTGCGGCTCAATACAAAACTTCAGTGTGATGCTATAGAATTTTTTATACGGGATAAATTACAAATAAATTATTTATAACAAAAATAGATAAGATCAAGTTGGCTGTGCAGTTTTACCTCGAACTACAGTATATAGCTAAATTAAATTTAGTTAATGTAAGATGGTTTTATTAATACCAAATGAGTTGTGAATGACTTCTGAAATGAGTTTTGAAATGGATTCCGAAAAGGACGTTCAACATCCAGTTATCCTCTTAATGGGAAAAACAGGCAAGTCTTCTTTCTTTTTTGCTTTTCGTTATTTAGTCGATAATTATTAACTAAAAGAAGAGCTATCTTTGTAGGGGCAGGGAAAAGCGCTCTCGGTAACCTGCTTCTTGGGCATACTGAATTTGAAGTTTCAGACGGATTTGTAAGTGATTATCCTTTGTATTTACTTGGAATTCATTTTTTTCTCAGTACTAAGGAAGGAATTGATAAAAATATATAGAATTCGAAAACGAAAAAATGTTGCGTAAAAACGTTGTCAATTAAAGGCAATACGTATGATATTGTTGACACACCTGGAGTTTTTGACACTAGTCAAGATGACTCTCTTAAAGAAATTGCAAAATTCGTCCATAAATGCGCTTATGGGATCAAGGCAATCCTTTTTGTTTTAAGTATATAATATCTTTGGTTAATAGCTGTACTTTTATTTAATTTTATTCGCATTTCAAATTCACTTAACCTTGAATTGACTTTGTAGAGAAGGAAAGGTTCACTGATGAACAAAGGAATACTTTGAAAGAAATAGGAACGTTTCTTGGAAAAGATGCAACAAATAATATCATTGTTGTATTTTCTCACGCAAGTCCAGATCAGATTAAGTGTAAAGACAAAATGAGAATGGCTTGGAGTGATGTACCACTTTTTAGTTCTTTTATTCAAGATATTGAATTCCGGTGGAGTGTCTCTCCAGATCCCCATCATCTTGATGATGACAGACAAATCAGTGAAGAACGATTAATGGAGATCAAGACTTTTATTAGCAATATACGGGAAATTTACACCACTCGACAACTTGAAGAAAATTTGGAAAGACAAAAGGAAGCGAAGCGCCTAAAAGAAGAGGAAGAAAGAAGAAGGAGAGAAGAAGAGCGGAGAGAAAAGGAACTAACAATTTTTGAAATGGTAGCGGTTGGAGCGTCAATCGGAACAGAAGCTCAGCCAGGACTAGGAACAGTAGTGGGTGGCGTTATCGGTCTTTCGTTTGGCCTTGGGCGTGCAATTAAGAGAAAATTGTAGCATTGTCCGTTGTTATTAGTTATTATTATCAATATAATAAATTTAAAATTTACTGGTTCAATATAAAATAAAACGACCCATATCGAGTATAATGACGTGAAATTTATTTAGATATACATTATTGCTGATGAAGATCATGATGAAATTATCAATCCGTAATAGGATTACTATTATCATTGAAAAATACACGACATTCTAAATCGTAATATTATATTTAGGTTAATAAGGTTTCACTCATTTTGGAATCGATTAAGAAAAAAAATCAGTAATTTTGCAATGAGCTAATACTTTCTTTGTTATTCTTTGTAAAAGCTTTGTTTTTTCCATATTCTCAACATCATGATAATAGGTTTCGGGTTTTTGATTTTGACCATATGCATTACCCATGTACTACCAGAAATACTTCATATTCGGACTAGTCAATAACTATGTAATACGATTCCCCTAAATATTCCGGAAAATCTTTGTTGTTCTAACGTAAAATATTGGAATGGGGGGTTAATTCTGATGCATCGTTGTAATGTTGCCCTTAAAATATCTTCTGCTATTTAGATGAACGAATAACGTAGTAGTTCTATTAAAGAAAATATACGTTGTGCATTCACTTAAAAAATAAAATATTATTAGTAAAAGCGCTTATACAGACTATGAATTTGTCATTTCTTCGACTTTAATTGCAACTTTATGCATTTACAGAATTTATCATTGGATGTTAATACTTCCAGGACACAAACTTATTCACTTTGCAATTATTGATCAGTGATAATGGGTTGGGAAGCATTACTTTGTTATAGATGATGATCTATTAATTCGTTATAAAGAAAAAATTAAGCATAAATTGAGTTACGGGAACAAACAACTAGACTATTATGTAGTGCAACTCTGTGATAAGTTTACTTGCGACTAGAATTTTTGTATACCAACTCCCATTGATATCTATTTTACAAATGAATACAGCGAAAACTTTATTATCCATTCTTGTTATTACATTAATGTAGGAACCAAATAAATGATTAGTGTGTTACGATTATCGATACCATTTTGGATCAGGTTCCATTTGAAATATACGTTTCGAAATTTTTATCGGTTACGGAAACACAAACTATCTGATCGCTATAAAATTATTGGTATGTCTGCGCATCGTAGAACTTTAGAACAGAGAGATCGTGACTTGAGCGTCTTGCCGCACAACCATGCTTCTTTATTCATTTTTTACCTCTTCTTATACAAATTTATTATTGTAGTCTATTACAGTAGTCTATTACTGTATATGATTAATAGACAAAACGCATACAAAAAAATCTTCACTTCTTTTAAGTTGTTAGCAAAGTATAAAATTTACAACGTTCCTGTAATGCTAATCAGTTTTGCAAGGAAAGTAAACATAGGAGTTAGTATAGCGAATGCAATAGGAAATATATGCGGATTATAGTCTATTAAATTTATTTTGAGCTGGAAACGAATCATGTGCAGACGTGCAGTAGGATCAAAGAAAATATCACAGCATACATGTATACACATAAAACTTACACCCGAACACACGTTAAAAAATAAAGCCAGACTGACGAAGCTTTATTAAGTATTAATATAGCTACAAACTACATAATGTTGCTGTTTCTCTTCAAATACAAGTTTTATTTTGGATGTAATTTTTGAATCATATCCACTTTGATCTGCCAACAATATTTAATTTCTATTTCTTCTAATTTAGGTCGTAATGATGGCATCATAGCGGATTTATGAAATACCCCAAAATTAGTCCATCATGTCAAATTAAATAAATATTTGGCAGTATTTAGTCACCAAATTTCTATTTAAGTCCCAAATTTATTAGTAAACAGTCAAAAATGAGCTCTAAAAAATTTTTCTGTACCCATAATCTTGCGTCTAACAAATTTTCCCACTATATAACCGATTTTTTCTAGTGTTAAAGGCGCGTCGTTATTTGACATTTTTTAGGGAAAAAGCTTAATTGGTATCACATGTTTCTATAGGTCAATTTTAATTCCCGAGGGCGCAGCGGGGGTTTTTGCCAAATTTCATAAATCCGCCGCAATGAATTGTGCTTAAGCAATCAGAACCTATTATTGTGAGTGATTTTAAATTTGAGCAGACAGGTAAAAGCGCTTCTAGATTTTTATTAAGTAGACGCGAATCACAATTTTCGAATCTTATCTGTTGCATTTGGACATGCTTTACTCTTCGGAAATTGGCCTAACACAATGAATTAATCATTATTTGGCTAAAATTAACAATAATGCTGGTCAAATAAACCTTGTTTCGTATTACGTTAAATTGAGTTAATCTAATTTTTGAAATTGACCAGTCCAAAATAATTTTCATTTTTAAAATACAAAAAAAAGTATTCTCCAAATAAACACCCATTTCAGGAAAGATGAACAAAAAGTATAAAGAAATAATTATCCGAATAAGTTAATTCATTTTGATTTAGTGAATAAACTTACACAGTATTTATCAATATTTCGGGAAATAATTTTTTTTTTTTTTAAGACGACCTTTCAGATAAACAAATTAAAATTTTCATTTTGGTTTATTACACGAACCGTTTATTCTTTTCGAACTGTCAAATAATATTACATACTTTAGGTTCCATGTATTGAATTTGAACCGAAATAATTAATATTAATTATTTGGAAATATAAACGCTTATGAAATATGTCGTCCGAAACTTTCGGTAATGATGAAACTGAGATTATTTGGGATAAATGCGCCGTAGAAGCTTTCTTTGTGGAGCGATGATCTTAAATACTTTTGTCCTCGCGTTGAACAGCTTATTTCATCATCACATGCAACAAGTTTGAAGAATTATTTTTTCACGGATGCCTATAGAGCTTCGTGTAGAAGTTGCTGGAATATTTAGAAATAGATCTTTATCATTACTTAATGACCGTTTTAAAGAATGGAATCAGAGTGACTCTGAATCAATTCTTCAAATTATTGAAGATCCTCAACTAAGTGGCCCAAAGATAACTTTTTAGAAGCAATGGAGTATATATCTGGATCATCATCAACGAATAAAATTTAATTATAATCATCAACGAATAAATTTAATTAATCATCAACTAATAAATTTTAATTATAATCATCATAAAAATATTTTTAGTGAATAATCTCGAGCAACATAGGGTCTTTTAAGAGCGACTATCTACGAAAAGGTGGTGATGTATTACAATTGCATGAGCTATTGCTCTGAGTTTTACTGAATCCTCTTTCAACAATGACTTCTAAATCTTATCTATTTTACCATATCTTTTTCTTTCTGAATGTGTACATACGACCTTTACAAATTTTTCCGAAAAGAAGTAAAAAAAAAGGAATGGTGAAACAAAGATAACCAATTTGATGAACTCTGGGTAAAGAAACTATTTACAATTATTTTTAATAAAACAAATATAAGCAAGATTTACCTTAATTTCATCTTATGAACAACTCATTTAAATCGATCAATTATTTCTGTTTTCCATAGTAGGTACCACTTTCCAAACATGTTTCATTATTCAGACACTTTGCACATAAATGCCTTTTGTGTTCTACACCATCCTCCGATAGTACTAGATGTTCATAACCTAAAATAATGCCATCATCACCACATTCCTCTTTCTTGCACTTCTGTATGATATAATCGTCATTAAAACGATTTAAACGCTTTCCTGGAGTTTTCTCTATATACTTTTGAAGTGATATCCAAGTATAAGCGCTTCTCCATCTCTTTCGGCAACTTGAACATCCCCAATTGCCAAATACTCTATACTTATCATTCCATACTAGGTGACGAATTATTTCCATGTCAGGATTTTCCTATTGAGAGGCAAATATTAATAGACATTTTTGAATTTCAAAAACGATATATTTGTATTCATAATTTGACCTACATTCGAATTTTCAGAGTTATACAGTAGGAAACTCGAAATCAAATTTCCACCATCGTCCCTATGTTTATCACAAATCCGAATGAATAAACCTAACCACTCGAATCTTTTTGGAATTGCTTCTAAGTATTGCTTTAATAATTTCTGATCATACTGTTTTTGCCATTCGCGTTGACAAAAGTTTTCGCGTTGCCATTGCCTTAAGTTGTATTTTTTTCGACATTCGGTTCGATTTGGGCATTTTTGATTGTGGTTGCACTCATTCCAATAGTATACATATTTATGTTTATTTTCACATTGCCTTACCGATAGACACTGCTGTGGTCTATGTCCGCACTGCCATTGATGACATATCCAATAACCATGTACTCTATAACTATTGTTATAGGCTAGGTGACGGATGATTTCGATAATCTAAGAAAGAAATATCAAAGAAATGTAGTAAATTTTTTTTTTTTTTTTTGTATTTAAAAGCGACCTACTTGTCTTTTCTCCAGTTCGTATTTTTCCCATTTGTGTCTTTTTTCGCTTTCCCATCTATATCCCAGGAAAGCGTCTATTAATTTGTTAATATTACACCGTTCCAATCCTGTAATATCACTTTCTTCCCAATTAATAATTGAGGTAATCCGACCACTTATTATGACTTTGGTATTACTTTCTTCCAATTTTCTCACTGTGGTGTTGCCATCATCCCAACTACTTGATGTGAGTGTAGTATTGCTTTCTTCCAAATTGCTTACTTCCAGCTTGCTTACTATGGTATTAATATTAATATCCTGATTATTTACTTCGATATTATCACAACTATTTTCTCCCAAGTTATTTATTCCGGTATTATTATCATAATTTGATACCGGGATATTTACCTATTTCATTTTCTGCGGTATCTTGGTCATTAGAGCTATTCACTTCTTTCGACATGATTGTATCCGTTAAAATTTTCGGATAATTAATTAATTCAAGTGTGAGAACGACCATGATCAGCGTCCTAAAAATAAACTTTATAAATCATTTAATTATTAGTCACGTGAAAATCATACTTTCGGTTCGGTTAAATATAAATATAACTTTCAAACGCCATTATTTGTGTGACAGCCACAAAACTTGAAAAGGCTAAACTCCTCAAAAAAAAAAAAAAAAAAAAAAAAAACTCGAATAATGGACACATTTTTATATATGCAATGCATGATCAAATGACTACAAAAACTCATTTTAAATTTCATAATAAAGCATAATAAAGAAATTATCGAATCATTCGTTGTGTCAACAATGCCAATAAACGAAGAAAGAAAAATTAAATTCTTAATCAAGTATAGCCATTAATGTGACTCCTAAAAAACCAGAAAAAAATATATTGTTGTTAAGATAAAAAATCCCTTCTTTTCAAAATCTGTGACGAACAACATTATTGTCTGCAATTATCACATGCTCAAAGAGGAACACGTGATATTAGCAATAAGGGCTTAGAAGCGATCATCAAACAAATATTCGATTGCATCAATCGGTCAGAAAAAAACAATAAGTCAACAATTACATTATTGATTTCCAAAACTGTTATACAATTAAGAATAAACAAATCCGTTCACAGTCAAAATAATCAGGCAAATCATATACTGACTATAATGACTGTATCTCTTTTTTAAAGAACAAATTTCAGCATACATTTTCGTTGTAACGTAATTCAAAAAAAGATTGCTTCTTATAACCAAAAGAATGCTCAATATCACTTCAATGTCTTATAAAGAAATTTTATGGGACGATTAAATAAAAAACGAGACGTATTCTTCTACGTATAATACTCGCGACTAAAAATACTTTTTTTTTTAATACGAAAATTTTGTTATATAAATCGACAAATTGCATAATAGGACTCGATTACTATGATTACTATTCAAAAAGCACAGGTAAATACGTACTGTACCTATTATAACAAATCATACAAAAAAAAAAGAAAAAGAAAAAGAATATAAGAAAATAATAGTAGAAAATATTCAGAGGTCGCTGATCTTGAATTTGACGAAACAATATTACTTTTAAATTTTATAATTTTATAGAAAGCGTTAGGTTCAGCGTAATCGTAAATAATTGAAGATCTTACATTAAGGGACCTCATGATTACGATATATTGTCGAATCAAATTCACATCAAATTGTCAATCATTCTTGTGATACTGCAACTAAAAATTAATAAAAGAAAATATATGTAAAAATAGTTTCGTTTCAACATGGTTACGAATCATTACAAGTTCGTTTCAATATTTAACGTTAGGACTTGGAAATAAAAATACCAACAAATTTTAATATTATTATTTAAAAAATAAATTCATTATTTATCTAATTTTAATAATTCTTAGTCATAAAATCAAAAAAAAATAAAGATATACAGTATATTAACGAATGGATTAATTCTATGAATAAAATCAAAGCATTTTTTTTTTTTTAAGGAGCTACATTTTATTATTTTCTAACGTTTTATTTCTTTCTTTCAACGCATCACAATGTCAGTAAAAAAATTTCATCTGCAAAGTGTTTGTTTATCACCTAATAATTTAAATGAATTATATTAATCAAGCTTAATCAAAATTTGATTATATAATCTTTGTAAATTATTTCATATAATTCGATTTTCATCTTACATTTTTTTTTTTCTGGCAAAAAAAAAAAAAACTTCACATATTTATTAACCATGATACCTCTTTCATCAGGATCAGGAAAAACTTTATATCATAAAAAACGTAAGGAAACTTGTTCAAAACACACAAAACACATTCACACAGTAGATCTGCATTATCGTAATTTGGAATCCGCGAAGAACCTCGTAATCGAAACAATTCAAGAATATCATTCTACGGAGATATTTCGTATAAGATTTATAACAGGAAGAGGAAATCATATAAATTCGAGTGGAGAGAGAGCGATCCTTTTTAAAAATTTTCCCAGTTGGATGGCAGACGTCTCGATCAGTCATTTGATCGAAAGTTATGAACAAGGTAATGGGAATTATTTAGTATTCCTTAAATCTTGTCATAATGATGTTCCTACGGTGGATTTGCAACTTCGTAGATTACCAAACGCAAAAATTATCACAATAAAAACGATTCAAGAATTTCATTCTCAAGAAATATTCGTCATAAAATTTATAACTGGGAAAACGTCAATTTATAAAAATTTTATAAAATGGATTTCGAATATTACGATCAATCATTTGATTAAATTTTACGTACGATATGAAGGATATTATTACGTAGGTCTTAAATCGGCAGATCACTTAGAAAGCGAAAGAATAGATTCATTTTTGAATGTAGACCTCATTAAACAAAAAGCTCTAATGGACGACGTTGAAGCTCAATGTGTCCTTGGATTAATGTATCTTGATGGTGAAGGGGTTAAAAAAGACGTACAAGAGGCTTTGAAATGGTTAGTAAAATCTGCTGAAAACGGAAATCTTGATGCACAATTACTTGTTGGACAATTATATATAGACGGAATTGGAATTGGAATTAATATAGAGAAAGAAAATGTAACAGCTTTTGATTGGTTTTGTATGGCTGCTGAACAAGGTGACGTTAACGCTCAACTATTAGTTGGACATATGTTATACGAAGGAAAAAGCGTTACAAAAAATATTAATGAAGCTTTTAAATGGTTCGAAAAAGCTGCTAAAAATAACCATGTTAAAGCACAATTTCTTATTGATAGAATTAGGAATGATAATTCCGGTATTAATTCCAGTAATAATTTCGGTAGTAATAATTCCGGTAGTAATTCCAGTAATAATTCCAGTAGTAATTCCAGTAGTAATTCCAGTAGTAATTCCAGTAGTAATTCCACTAATGATTCTAGTAATTGTTCCGGTAATAATTTCAGTAAAAGTGAAGAAATTTGCCAATATAGAAAAAAGAAAATTAGTTTAGTAAGATAAAATTTTATATAGAATGTATAGAATAGAAAATTCGATTTGTAATTATCATATAAGAACTAATGAACAAAAATATAGAATATTTAGATAATCAAATAGTGAACAAATAAAAAAACTAACTATAAATAAATGCACAAAAATAATTAAAAAAATCTTATTGTATTATTATGATTATTGTACGAATTGCATGCATAACGTTTTATCGACATTTATCGGTAATGCTTGAATGATTGTGTTGCTGCCAAATTAAACTCTATTTATATAATAATAGAAATAACTTTTAACTCCTAACTCCTAATGTAAGAAGATCATGGATTTTTCTTTTACAAATCTATACTTCACATTCCACATGTGTTTCCTTAAAAAAAAAATATATATATATAATATTTAAAAAGCGGACTTCATGATTTAAGATTCCGTGATAATATGGATGCATTAATTTTTTTTAGTGAAACAAGAGACAATAAATTTGTTTGAAATTGGGCGTATTCTTATCGGCTATTAAACATATTTATAAATAATTTACTATATTATTAATTTTTTTTTTCTTTTGCGTTTCATTTGATGCAGTTAATCAAACTTTGTAAAACTGTTGATCGCTCTTTAGCTACTCAAATTAGCAAATACTAGCAAATATAAGTTGATCTAACTAAATCGAGACATAATAAATTTCCAATACGAGTATTTGTTTATCATTCTATGTTATTCAAATTACCATAACAAAGACAGGGAGATAAGGAGCTTAAGGAACAATATTAAAAAAAAAATTTTAAAACGTTCAATTATTTCTTTATTTAAAAAAAAATAACTTTTTTACTCTATATTCCAATGATTCCATGTTATAAATTATATTTATATTACATGAATATAAATTTAATTACGATAAACTTTAAACAAAGTTTTTCTTTCTTCTTTCGGATCCAAGAAGATGACGTTTTCATTAGTTCGAATCTTATATAAATACCAACAATGTGTCGTAAGAACTAATTTTTCAAGAAAATTATCTGGAATAATTTTTTCTTCACCCTTGCTCTTTTATTTTCCTCACATTATATATAGATATATTTTTTTTTTCGACAAAAAAAAAAAAAAAAAAAAAAATTTTAAAAAAAAAATAATAATTTCAAAAAGACCTCCTTAAAAAAAAAATTCATAACCCATAAAATTATTTATTTATTTCTTATTATTATTATTATTAACAATGTCGCCCGTCTTGACTGAACCTACTAAACAATTTAAAGAATGTGAGGAATCTGACCAAAATTACGTTCCTACGATTGATCTTCACGACCATAATTACCAATCCGCAAAAAATATTGTAATAAATACTATTCAAAAATATCATTCTTCAAATATAACTCGTGTAAGATTTATAACAGGAAGAGGAAATCATACGAATTCAAACGGAGAACGTGCAATACTTTACAAGACTTTTCCAAAATGGATGTCAGATATTACAATCGATCATTTAATCGATAGTTATATACAATGTAATGGTTTTTATTTGGTAATTCTCAAATCATCTGACGAATTAGAAAAAGAATTAGAAAATACTTTTTTTGATATTAATATAATTAAGCAAGAAGCTTCAGATGGTGGAGATGAAGCTCAACTTATTCTTGGTTTAATGTACCTTGATGGGGAGGGAGTTAAAAAAAATATTAACGAAGCTTTGAAATGGCTTACAAAATCAGCAGAGAACGGTAATGTCAATGCCCAAATACTTATGGGACAATTATGCTTTGATGGAGTTGGTGTTAACATAAAGAAAAAGGATGCAAGAGCTTTCCATTGGTTTCATATGGCAGCTGAGCAAGGTGATGTCAATGCTCAATTAATAGTTGGCCACCTATTATATGAAGGAAAAGGTGGCAATAAAAATGTTAATGAAGCTTTTAAATGGTTTGAGAAAGCTGCTGAACAAAATGAAGTTAATGCACAATTCATTGTTAGTAGAATGTATTTTAATGGTGAAGGAATTCATCAAAGTAATAAAAAAGCATCGAAATGGATTAGAAGAGCTGCCGAAAATGGTCATCCAGATGCTCAATTTATTCTTGGACGAATGTATGCTAAAGGAGAAGGAGTTAAACGAAAAAATGCCGAAGAAGCTATAAAATGGTTTAAAAAAGCTGCTGATCAAGGACATTTGGAAGCTGGAATTATTACGGAAATTTATGTTTAATCAAATTTCACGTAAATTTTCATATTAAAAGAGATGATTTTCTTTGTGATTATTAAATTAAACTGAGAAATTATCGTAAAAAAAAATTTATTAATGAATTATTAAATTTATTAATGATGATTTTATTTAAGATAGTTATTGCGCGTACATATTTAATTTATGTAAGACACATTTTTGTAAGAAACATAAAATAAAAATAAAATAATTATTGATTTTTGAAATAATTCAATCATGTGTTTACTCTAAAAATCATTATCAGAATTTCTTTTTTTTTTCGTTTTTCCATCATTAATAATCATAAAATATTCTCAGACAAAATCTATTATACAATTTAACGTATACTGATATTTTAATATACTGATATTTTATTGATATTGATCTAACTGTTATTTGCCGTATTAACTCTAATAACCGAATAGCCGAATTATTATCATGGCGGAGTAAATTTCCGGGACTTTTCAATTTGTTTCAAGATTTTTAGGTGATACTAATGGTAGATTAAAGATTATCGTTCTAAAAATAAATTTCTTTATGAAACAAAGAATTTTTCTTTCAAATGATGATAAATTTGAATCAAAGTATACCATTCGGGTATTATCGACATTTTGTATCATAATATCAGACCTTGTTTTCCTAATTTATAAATGAATGTTAAAATAATTTGCAATATAAATAAACTAATAAAAATTTTTGAACTCCTTCGTTCATTACCTAGCCGTCATTGCACAATTTTCTTGCATTTTTTTATAATCAAAATTAAATTTACATCTATTATAATAACAGATTACTGTATATCCGGTATCTTATGATACGTACTATTTTATTCATATTCGGTATGTTACGTTTTATTAGATAGTTATTGGATGGGGGAATAGAGATATCGGTCGAGGACCGATATTCCCCATCCAATAAATATATATTATTATAATATAAATCTTAGATTGCTTATTTTGAAATAATTAGTAAACAATTTTTATTGGCGTTAATGTTTAGTATCAAATAATAAAACTTCACAATAAATCTTAAAATAGTTAATAAATAATTTTTTATTGCACTTTCATTTTATAACAAGATATCATTCATGATACAGTATCCAATAATACGAAAGAATTGTTGTCATGTGCCACATAATGACACAGTGATTCAATAAATATATAAACTTAACAGATTTCATTATATATAACCATCAAAATCTCATTCGTTTATCAATGATTTCGCTTTATTTGTTATTTTTAGTAGTATTTATCATTTTAAAAATAATAAAAATTTAAACTCAAACTAACCAAAGAAATAGAAAAAAAAACAATTCAATTTCAATGCAATTTATCTTAATTTTTTAAAAACTTACTATCAAGTTTCTATCCCATTATAATATGAAGTGATATCTCTTATTTTTTGCTAATAATATGACTTACCGTGTTATTGCATCGAAAAAAATTACTCGTGCGAAATAAAATTATACATGACAACTTGTGCGAAAAAATACTCGTGATATTCAATAAATTAGTGGTTTGTATTACTTATGTCACATTACTTTCTGCCTGTAAAGCATTTGGCTAATCATTTGTCATTGATTTTGATTTGTTAATATTTTTATCATATGATTTCAATTGAAAAAAAAAATTTATTATAGGCCAGAAAAACAGTATTTTGTCATTAAATCATACCGAGCACTTCTGTATGGAGTGTTGCATTCTCCTTTGTCAGCTTCATCAACATTGATTTTTAACACGAAACTAATCGTGATACATCAGGCTAGCTGAATTATTGCGACCGCAAATTACTATGTCCGATGATATTAATTTAATAAAAATGGGGTATGGAAGAAACCAGAATCAGTGGTCAATCAATGATTTATAATAAATTGGAATGCTTATTTTTTTGATAAAAGAAAATTACGGAAGATCAATAAAAGACTGTATGTTGATCGGTTATAATTCGGGCCGAATTAGTATTGGCATGCACGGGACAGTCTCCAATAAAATGCGATACACGTGATCAATAAACGTGATCCGTTCTATATCAAAAGTCCGCAATAAAATTTCCTTTTGCAACATCTTACCGAATATGTTGAAAATAAAAAATGAATTTGGTAATTAAAAAATAAATCTAGTAATTAAATAAATAAATTTAGAAAAATTGGCCAAACTTTTGGTTAAGAACTAACATCGATATACAGTAAATACATTACAAGCTTTTTATTTTATTGAAAATATTGTTTTATCTTCTAATTTAAAACGAAAAGATTCAAGTTATATAATTATAAAAAATATTAAATAAAAAATATATATGAATTGTTCTGAAAATTTTTGAGATTTACTCAATTTTCTGATATATTATTATAAAATAGTATTCTGTTAAAATTTTAAGCAACAAGAAAATGATATTTATCTATGTATGAAAAAAAGAATAGAAATTTTAAAAATCGCACCATTTTTTGAAGTTTTAACTTTGAATATACCATCTACCCAAAATTTTTTTAAGAAAATTTGTTTCCCGTTAAAGGACTGATCCAGCTAAAATCTACGCTCAAAGTTTCAAATTTCCTAGTATATATATCTGGTATTGTTATTTATTCTTTTATTTAGCTTTATAATTTTATATAAATTATACTATTTCCAAAGTTTATTATCTAAATGTGAGTTTTGATGTCTTTGGAACATATTCCTAAGTTTAATTGTGTAGTTAAACCTGAAATCTTCATGAAACCATCAAACCAAAGAATAATAATAATAAAAAAAAGATTTTATGCTTCCCATTGAATGTAAAAAAAATTTTTTTTAAAGAAATATTTTGTAGTGAAACTGAAAATGAATCATGGTTACGCTATCATCAATTTCATTCTTTAAAATATAAAAAAAAAAATTTTTAATAGCAATATTTAAAAAAAGCTCAATGTGATTAATCCAACTCCTACTACTTGCAGTACGGACAATAGTAATAAAATAAAATTATTATAAAACGAAAGTCTAAAAATAATGCAAAATAGCAGCATCTTCTATTGATAAAAAAAAAAAAAAAAAATGCTATTTCAGTGTATTTTTACTTAGTAACTATTTTTGAAATTTTACGGGGTTAGGTATTGATCTGCGTACAATCTGAAGATTTTTAGATTATTAAAATGCGTATTTTTAACAGATTTTTTAGTAGTTTGTCTGATCATATATATATACACTGTATATATACATAAGATAAATACTGGTAATTAAAATAAATATAATTAACTATTTAGCATAGAAGAAATATGTAACATTTGTAATATGTTTACAATTAAATAAAAAAAAAAGTTATTACCGTTCCTACTAACGTAGCATTAAAGAACTGACGCAAAATTTCATACTTGCCATAAAAATTAAAAATCGGTGTCATTAATAATGATGTAATGTGGTAAACTTATTCAGTAAAATTTTGACTGATCGGTTCCTGTGATTCATCAAAAGTATAAAATGTATAACAAGGAAAAAAAAATTTTTATCACGAGTTTCTCTTTGAAATTTCTTTTTTTTAAATTTTTTTTGATTGTCTTTTTTTATGTAAATACTTGGACTTCCTGGATGATAGGATGGTAAGTTTCGAAGCGAAACGCTTCAAACCTTTTTTTAAAACTTTTTTTTTTTACAGATACTGTATTGGTGGATTTGAACTTTCAGGATCAGGTTGGTAAGTTTCAAAGCATTTTGCTTCGAAACTTTTTCAAAATTTATTATTTTTTTTTTAAAATTTTTTTTTAATTAAATCTTCTTCATTTACCTTTTCTTATAGATACCTGGACTTCTTGGATTATAAGATAATAAGTTGAAGTGTTTCGCTTCAAACTTTTTTAGAACATTTTTTAATTTTTTTTTTTACTAAAAATTTTTGCGGATTTGGACTTTTGGATCGTATTGGTTCAAAACTTTCTTTAAGAATTTATTCTACGAGCAGGAATTATCTGTGCATCCCAGCGTTAACACTTGCTCTTATTACTGTACCTGGTGGAAAGGTAACTATTCTCATTTGTATGTAATATATTCTCTGCATTGCCAGGAATCCCTCCTTTATTTGTAGATTCTGATTCCTTGGACTTCCTAGACTTCCTGGATGATAATATCAGTAAGCTTTGAAGCAAACCGCCTTCAAACTTCCTTTTTGATTTTTAAACACTCCTTTCTTTCTTGTAAGTTTCAGGAATTTTGGGTCTAGGATTTTTTGTAACTTTTGTTATGAAATATTTTTTGAGGTTTTTTTTATTAGAAACGTTTTTAACATTTTTTTTCATTTCTTTTCCTGTAGGTTCAAGCTTTGGGATCGGAATATTAAGGTTGGTAAGTTTCATAAAATTACGAAACTTTATTTTTTCTTTAATTGAAACGTTATCTAACGTTTATTTCCTTTTTTTGTAGGCTTTTAAGCTTTTGGATTAGGATATCAGCTTCGATTTTAGCTAAATGGTAATTTTCGTTTCGAAACACATAAAACATTTCTTTTTATTTTATTTTTATAAATTTATCCAATCGGCATCCTACCACTGATCAGAGCTAGTTTTGTTAAACACATTAAATTCACAAGTTGAATGATATGAGTACCTTAGACTAAATTTATAATTTTTTATGTAAAAAATGTGCAATATAATTGAAAATTCAGGTGTATATTCCGTATATATTGGTTTTTTAAAAATGGATCCGTATATAAAATATACAGAATTATTGTAATATACCTTCCAGGTTCGTCAAAGTTTCCAGGATTTTGGAGAAGAAAGAAATTCGGCGTTCCTAATAAAAAATAAAATTTAGTTATAATGATAAAATTATTTAAAAAATAATATAACGGTTTAAAAAATCATAAAAAAAAAATTTTTAACGTAAAAAAAAAATCAAAAAATATTTACAAAAAAAAAAAAAAACCATAAAAAAAAGAAAATTAAAAAATGGGTTAAAAAAAGTATATAAATCAACTGGAACGAATTTTTTTTATGTAAAAAAATTCGAAACGTTCTTTTAATATAAGCAATAGGGGTTAATCTCAAATTTTTAAATGGTGTACGCCAGACACATGATTTAAAATAATCACAAATCTGCCATAAATCCGCTATATATTCACTATAAAAATATCATGAAAATAATACACCACAAATTTACCTAGTATATCACAAAAAATAATACGAAAATACTATTGAAAACACTACAAATCTACCACAAATCCATTACAGAAAAATGAAATAAATTTTATAATACTTTGTTATTAAATAATTTTATTTTTATTTAACTTTGTGTAAAAATAATTTAATTGGAAGTAACAATAAGTAACATTTTCTTTGTGAATAATGTGACATAATAAAATAGGATTCTAGGTACAAAATTTCGGACAAATTCTAAACAATTTTTGGACGAATATAAATTACAAATGAATAATGGATGTGATATAATGAAATCAAATTTCAATTTGTAAATAATACTGTATTGTAAATTCAAAGAATTAAGAATTAAATAGCTTATTAACCAATTTATGATTTCTATCTCCAGCTTTTTGCATTAAAAAATTTTTGTATATTTATTCAGATAAACATGAATGTTATCCTACATCCCAATATCACCCAAAAATTTGGAAAATATTACTAAATTTATTTTCAATTACCAAATTCATTTTTTATTTTCCAAATATTCGGGTAAGATGTTGTGATCTGCTTCCTATGAAAACACAATTTCCATAAAATGTATGTAAAAAAATGTTATTTGACCATATATTGTTCGAAAAATCATTATTTGTTTATAATTTAAACATAATTTTATTTGATATATTATTAAATATTCGGTTTTATTTATTTATTTATTTTATTACTAAAAGAGTGTTGGAACCCAGACTATTACAAATAAAAGAAGAAAGAGTTCGAAAAGACTTAAAACTAATATATGTGTATAGACCTTTGTTCGTCATCCCCTACGGGACCCCACTCTTCGATCTGTACTATTTGATAAAGTAGGACTACGCTAATAAATCAAATGCAATCAAAATATAAAAAAATTAAGATCCGTATTTTCCTTTCAACCAAGGTTGCCGCCTGTGAATACTGTAAGAGGTGGAATGTTTCACACTATTTTAAGTTGTGTTATACATATGATAACATAAAAAGAACTAAAATGTAGTTTATACTACAAGGATAAAGGTATCGTACTCCAAATAAAGAATACTAATATATATAAATATATAAATGTTAAGGATGTTTAGAACTTGAAGGTCCTGTAACCAGGGAGTCATCATTAGAAGCTGGTGTAGGATGGAATCGTTTCATTGTATGATCCAGAAATGAGAAATAATGATTCTCGTTATGAATATCATCACGTTTATTAGGTCAATATTCGACCTCTGCTGTATCATCTGATACATCAATATACGGATGTGTAATAAATCGTACAGCCCCTTGAGTTCAGATATTGTTATTCTTGAGAAATTTATTAAGATTTTTATCCAACGTGGCGTTACTGAAACCGAATTCATGGTTTTGTTGTCTCTTGGCTAAATATTTAGGCATGCATTCGTGAAAACTATTTGATGCATTCGTTACAGATCTAACGATATTAGCGTGAGAATTGTAATACTTGGAAGTAGTTCCATGGTATGCTGCCTCTTTTGTTAAAGCGTCCGCCTTCAATTTTTCAGTCCTACGTAGTTGAGATTTTTCTACAATATGTGATGGTACGTAATTTTCTACTACTTCTGAACGGTATATTGGAGTTCTTGCTACATATTTCCCTTTAGCATTGTAACGTGGGGTCCTACTCTCTGGTGGATAATAAGATTCATCAACGTTGTACATATAAGTAAACCATTCTCTCGATCCAGGAGTCACATAACGATCATTCATGTAAATCAGATCCTTTGGTATAATATCACGATATTTTTTAGGTATGAATACATCTGGAATTGGATTATAATTATTAGGTGGTGCAGAAGGACCGGTAGATGATGACGCTTGAGTGAGTTTTGTCATGATTTGTTTCTTATGATTTGAATCCATCGTGAAATAAGGAACCAAGAACGGGTAATCGTCAGCATTTGGAATTGAGTCAGAATGTTTGTACAATAAATGTCGAACAGGTACTTTGATGTATTGAGATTTCAACAAATAGAAGGCGATATTTGCATGCTATCGCTAGATAGTCCTGATTATTAGCCTTGCGATTAGGCGGTAATCGCATTTTATTGAATACACAACGGCAAGTGCGTTTGAAACATATATTTTGTCTTTTTTGCGTCCATAAATTAGGAGACAAATTGTATTGGAAGTTGGACAAACATTTTTGATACATGTGTCTGTTGCCCTGTTTGAATGTTGTAGAAGGATCTCTAGCATGAATATTGCTATCATATGAAATACCCAGTCGTCTAGAGGTAATACGTTTTGATTTACCATTAAGCCATCTGTAATATAATAAATTGGTGTGAGAGGATTTGTCATTAATGAAATCTGTTGGTATATGTTCTGATTTTGGTTCGTGTTTCTTTTTGATATTCTTGAAGATGTGTGTTTTTGAAAAAGTACGTTGATGAATTATGCATGCGCTTCTATGTCGTGACATGACAAAGGGAGTAGGGATACCACATTGTGTGTCTTTATGAAAATGTTCAGGGTTGTTAATGTGAGGGCAAGGAATATAAATGCCAAAATGAAAATGACGTTTCTTGTAAGTGAAATTGAAGAATGTTTTTGTAGAATAATTTTGATTGGTGGTACTAGTTACACGTGATCTTATTATTTTAATTCTATCCAATAGTTTGTTGCGTAGAAAATTAAAATATTTGTCTTATATTCGACGTGGAATAACTCTTTGTAAGGCAAAAAAATGCGTAAGCATGCAGCTGATTTGATATTTATCATTGGGGAACAAACTTGTGTTGTTATAACTAATCGGCTTCATTTTCATATGATAATCATTCGTGTGTATCTTCAAATGAATTTCATTGGTATTTTCATTGCAATCAGCAAGCTCAAAAAAGAAACTCCTAGATCGGCGGATTTCATAAATCTTGTTAAAACCTGATTGTTTTGGCGTAGTTACGTGGAATTTTTTTAGGGAGACCAGCAAGGTAGTTTTTTTCCCGTCTTTGGGTAAATTTTCTGAGATAGGCACAGTATCCGGAGACGATAAAGGAATATTGTCCTGTATTGGGGTTAAAGGAGTGTTGGAAATTGAAGGTATATTATTTCCTTCTAATCTGACTTCTTCTATTTCAGCATTTAGTGCAGTATTTAGTAGTTGTTGAAAGTAATCTTCATTGTCATAGGTTTCTTCCATTTCATCATCTTCAAAGTGAAGAGTTGAGTATGTAAAAGGATAGATATCATCAATATCAAGGAAAAAAATATCCTTAGAAGAAAGTACTGTCAGCGGCTCAGTATTATGTAAAATATTCTCTGAGTCATTTTCAGGTGACGTTGGTTCACCGAGTTGAGGATAAGAATGTTGTGAAGTGGAAGACCAGTCTATTTCGATATAGGGTGTAGAAGTCATATTTCTTTATTATATAAGTTATAAAGAGAACTAAAAACCTCGTATAAGACAGAGGCGCCCGTTTGGGCCTCTCCCCCTTTGGCGTTTCAGATATAAACTAAAAATTGAACTAGTGCAAAATTACTGCGGAAAACTATCGAAAATAAAAAAAGGGGAAAGAGTTTTTTTTTTTTTCTATTATTAAATATTCGTAAGTTGTATTGTAAATATAAACTAACTTAACGTACAAATAACATGTTTAAACATAATGCGAAATGCAATCATTACATAATAAGGTCAATTTACGTATAGTAAATTCCTATTGTAAAATTTATGACTTTTTATTGTCATTTTTTGACAGGTTTGCTAACTTTGCTTGAATTATTATCTTCAATTAGACATTTTCCTTTCTACGAGATGATCTACAAAGTGTTTGCTGCGGTGTCTATTTTCTAATGTTAACAATGTTAACAGTATAAATATTAATAAAATCAATTATTTATTACACATTTAAAAGATACATACGAATTTGAAGATTTATTTGGCAATTGTTTTGTTTTTCAATTTGCTGCTTTTCGATAGTTTATTTATTTCTATTGCACTAGTCGAAATCAAAAATTTTGGTCATGTGACTTTTGGCTAAATTTCAGCCAAAGTTCGGTCTTCGACCAAAATTTTGACACATAACTTTCTGAATATCATTTCTGAGATTATCACGTGTATATGTGATAATCTTTTTTAAATATTTAATTCGATACAGGTTTTAGATAAAGTTTCGTTTCGCTTCGAAACTTCAAAAAAATGTTTTTACAATTTACAGTAAAGCTTTCACTTTGAAATTTTTTTATTAAAAAAAATTATTTTTATTTTTTATTTTTTTTTATTTTTATTTTTTTCTTTTATTTTGTAGGTTTTGGCTCCAGTTCTTGGTGTTGGATAGGTGAGTTTCATTTCGAATAACACTTTGAAACTTTATTTTTTTTTTTAAAACAAAATAATTTATTAAAGTTTTTTTTTATATTTCGTAGGTTTCGGCTTCAGTTCTTGGGCTTTGGATAGGTGAGTTTTGAAGATTTTGCTCAAAACTTTTTTGTAAAAAAATTAAATTTATTAGTTTTTTTTTCTATTTTGTAGGTTCAGCTCTGATTCTTGGGCGTTGGATAGGTGAGTTTCGTTTTAAACAACACTTCAAAACTTTGTTTTTTTTTAAAAGAAATAATTTAATTTATTAATTTTACAAATTTAACAAAGTAACTTATATGTTAAGCGTATATTCATTGGATTGCAGATGTTAGAGAAGATAGTGTAGGTCTTATCTCATTTCAAAAATTGGGAGCGCATGAATTCATTGATGTATTTGCTATAGACCATTGTGTAGGGGTTTTTCAGATTAAAACTACTTAAACTACTTATTACGTGATAGATAAGGATGTAGATTATACAGATGAATAACTAATAGAATGGTTATATGCATATTAGTGAGAAATTGAGAATAGTACAGTATATTAATAAACAAATAATTTACATTTAGATTTCAAACATAAAATGAATGGGCTCATTTTCCCGTATATTTAACCTTTAAAATTGGTGTTTCAAGCATAAATTAATATATATATGCATTTTAGCATGTATATTTGTACTATTTGTACTTGTATATTAAGATAGAATAAAGTTAGAAGACTTTGGTTTATCAAGAAAAAAAAAATAACTGATGCATTAGTATATTATCATTGGAAATGGTTTTATATTATTATTTTGATAATTTATATCATATAAAAAAAGATTTATTTAAATTATGAATTAAGAAACTTGTAAAATATTTACTACTCTAGTCTTAGTGTTTAAATAATTCTAAGTATAATAAAAAAAGTGAATATAAACTAAAAAAAAAAGAATTATTTAAATTACAAACTAAGAAACTTGTAAAATATTTTACTACTCTAGCCTTAGTGTTTAAATAAATCTAAAAAGAATAAAATAAAGAACAATTTCTTTTGAATACATAATATCAAATATCACTTAAAAAAAACTATAAATTTTTTTAAAAACAAACAATGATTAGTTAATTTTCATCTGTTTTAATATCTAAATAATTAAATATTAAATAAAATTAATTTCACATAAATAATTTGCAAGATTAATTTCTTTTATATATCATAGTACATACCCAATGACCCCAAATCCTTAATTATATAATCACTCATATCTTCACTTACTAGCATTTCATTTGCTTTTACACTAGTAGCTTGCGAATCTTCACCTTCAAGAATTTCATTCAACTTACTAGTATTCTCAACTGTTTTAATAATTAAGTAAATTAATTAATTTCATATAAATAATTTGCAAGATTAATATTTTATATATTATAGTATATACCTAATGTTCTCAAATCTTTAATCGCACAATCATTCAAATTTTCACTTTCAAGAATTTCATTCAATTTTTTACTAGTAAAATCAAGTAAGCGACTTGTATAACATGCTTTAGGGTGAGATTTAGTAACAAGGTTGTTATGCACAATTGGTGCATTTATAAATTCCATAATGTTGCTTTTTAATTCTTCACTGACTTTATAAAATCTGAAAATCCATTTTTCAATAATTCTTAATACTTCTTCAGAAGATGGTCTTTTTAATGGATCTTCATTCCAACATTTTTTCATTAAATCTACATAACATTGTGGAGTATTTTCAATAATTTCAGGACGTTCACCTTTACAAATACTTAAACTAAGTTGAATATCATGTGCTCTATTATTAAATGGTGGTACCCCAGATGTAAACTCCCACATAATCATAGAAAAACTATATATATCACTAGCTGGAGTATAAGATTTGCCTATTAAAACTTCAGGAGCCATAAATGATATAACACCATAAATATCATACTTTTTCAAAAATGATTTTACAGGTTGACATAATCCTAAATCACTAATATAAAATTTATCCTTATTCTTGTCATTATGATTTAAAATATTACCATCATGAAAATCACAATGAATAAGATTTTTTTTATGTATCTTACTAAGTCCAGAAATAATTTCATACAACATATATAATTTTTGATTCCAATTATTTTCAACTATATTTGTTAAATTTTCTCTTAAGTTGCCCTTATTTGCATAATCCATTACTACCATATATTTTGATGTATTTGGATCTTCTGTGAATCCATAAAAGTTTATAATATTGTTTGAACTTAAAACACTTGTATGATATTCCCACTATAAAAAATAACAATAATTTATTAATATAAATAAATTTTACTTAAATTAAAAATAGAAAATAATATACTATCATACTTCTTTTAAAAATTCATTTAAATTTTCATTTAAATTCTTGTGACATTTAAGAATTACTTCTTCACCTCCATTATTCTTTAACCAAATAGCTTTATATATAGTACCAAATCCTCCTTCATTAAGGTATTCAACATTTTTAAATTTGTTATAAGGAAACCATCTTAATTTTTTTTGAAAAATAAAATCATCTATAATTGTATTTCCACTTTTCCCAAATCTATAAATTTAAATAATTAAAATTATAAATTGTATTATAATTTACACTAAAATAAATTATTACTTACTCTAAAATTTAAATAGAAATTTAATGTAATTTAAGACTTAGTTTTTGGATAAATACATAACAACCTATAATTTAGAACTTACCAACTAAAGTAACAGATATTTTTTAAATGAAAGAATTCAGTTAACAAATTAATATTATATAAAATATATAAAAATAGAGATACTTACAAGCTAGATCATAAATAATTTTTTAAATAAAGAAATAAATTAGTTTAAATTATATGTAAATATTATAAGTAACAAATAATAATATTATAATAGAATTAAATAAATAACTTACCATCTATGAAATAAATTTTTAAATAAGGAAATTAGTTAGTTTAAATTATATGTAAATATTATTATGACAATGAGTAATAATAGAATTAAATAAATATTAACTTACCAGCTATGATATAATTTTTTAAAATAAAGAAATTAGTTAGTTTAAATTACACATAAATATTAATAATGGAATAAATAAATGACTTATAACTTATAACTTACCAACTAAAAGAAATTACAAATAATTTTTTAAATAAAGAAATTAGTTAGTTTAAATTATATGTAAATATTATAACAGTAAGTAATAATAGAATTAAATAAATAACTTACACCCTATATTATTTAATAATTTTTAAATAAAGAAATTAGAAATATTATAACAATAACAATAAGTATTAATAGAATTAAATAAATAACTTATAGTAACTTACAAACTAAAAGAAATTACAAATAATTTTTTAAATAAAGAAATTAGATAGTTTAAATTATATGTAAACATTATTACAATAAATAATAATAGAATTAAATAAATAACTTATAACTTACAATCTATTAAATAAAGAAATCAGTTAGATTAAATTATGTAAATATTATATCAATATGTAATAATAGAATTAAACAAATAACTTACTCTCTATATTATTTAATAATATTTTAAATAAAGAAATTAGTTAGTTTAAATTGTATGTAAATATTATAATAATAAGTAATAATAAAATTAAATAAATAACTTACCATCTAGAGATTAGTTAGTTTAAATTATTTGTAAATATTATAACAATAAGTAATAATAAAATTAAATAAATAACTTACACACTGTATTATTTAATAATTTTTTAAATAAAGGAATTAGTTAGTTTAAATTATATGTAAGGATTGTAATAATATTAAATAAATAACTTATAACTTACGATCTATTAAATAAAGAAATTAGTTAGTTTAAATTATTTGTAAATATTATAACAATAAGTAATAATAGAATCAAATAAATAACTTACTCCCTATATTATTTAATAATTTTTAAATTAGTTAGTTTAAGTTATATGTAAATAATAACAAAATAAACTTACGAGCTATATTATTTAAATAAAGAAATTAATTAATTTAAATTATATGTAAATATTATAATAATAAGTGATAATAGAATTAAATAACTTACTCTCTATATTAT